TATTTTTTTATTAAAGAATTAATATCACTTTTATTACATTTTAATATTATATATTTTAACGCTGAATACATATATTTATGGTAAAAATCTTCATTATAAATAGATTAACATTTGATACTCTAAATTTTATATTTGTGTTCTTTTGATAAATTACAAAATTTTTAAATGGGCGATACAATTGCAGCGAACCATTATTTTTGTTCTTGTATAACTTTAATTCCAAAAGATCATTGTTTTTAATGCAAAAATTTTTTCCATTTTGAATGATTATCTAATAATTATGTTTTTATTATTATATCTAGAACTCGCTACGATATATTTTAAATATAAAATTTTCGAATCTCTTCTAGCATCAATCGTGAAAAACATAAACAAGCATACGCATAAATGAATAAAAAAATGCTAAATAATTTATTTATTCACAATAAAGTCGTAGCCAGTAACACTTTTTTTATTAAATAGCATTCATGTATATAGCATCATCACTTACACATCTTTCACTGTTTTTCCTTTATACCTTTTGATTTTCAATATTTTTAAAAATATTTTAAGAATTAATAGATCTCAATTATATGTTTTGCGTAAGTACTTATTAGTCAATTTTTTATTGGTCAAAATGCAACACAACACATCAAGTAGTAAGACAAAACTAATAGATGTTAGATACAAAAGAAGCCTTATATAACAAATAAGTTTGTTAAATGTCACGGTTGAGGTGCGAGGGGTCGCGTGAAGGCTGCGCAATACCAAATGGAAGAATTAGAGGAAGGGGAGAAGATAACGCAATTCGTTTTTAAAATTTATGTTTCTTTCTGGCAACCGTATGTCTGGTGATTCAAAATTGACATACTTGCGTAATAAACAGTGAGCATTTCAATGATGTTTGAGTGATAATATATATATTGATTCAAACAGTACACACTTGACGCACGAAAACGATCTACTTATTGTTATAGACATGAAATTAACATAAAATTTTCCTAGCCGCTGCTCAATAATTCGCGAAAATCGATGCACCAATACACGCTCGCTTGCGCGCTTACAAACACTAGCTTTCCTCGGGACGTGACTCGCGCTTCGGCACGAGAGCTTTGCGGCTTATTCACTCTTCGTAATTGTCATTGTCACTCAATCTTTGTAATTGCCAATACTCACCCATTGTCCATTTGCAGATTTTTCGGACAACGCCCGTTCTCTCAAAATATCAATATGTCTATTCAAAGCAATAAAATTGTTACTTATACGTTGTATAACTTTATTGAAGAATTATTATTTTTTAATAAAAAAAGTATAAATAAAAATTTTAACAAAATTTTTCTTGCTATGTTTTAAATATATTATGCTGTTTACAGTAAGCATGTCATAAGTTCATAATAAGTAATATTTTTCTTATCAAACTTTCTTATACTTACACATATTTCACTGTTTCTTCCTTTCCTTTTGATCCTCAATATGCAAAAATATTTTAAGAATTAATAAATTTCAGTTATTACACAATTATTATTACTTTTTATCAGCCAAAACAGTACAGCCGGAACGCATCGGTTGTATTTGTGCAACAGAAAAATAACGCAAGTAACGTAAATGAAATCTTATATGTATATGTTTATAAATATAGAGCGACGTGACTACTAGTAATTGTCGATTTTACATTTTAAAATAATTTGTATGCTTCTCTTTGTGAAGCAAAAAAAAAGTTTATCTATAGTCTGTTCTATAAGGCTACTGCAGTGGGAGAGAAAAAAGAATCTCTGATGGGGATTTGATAAAGAATTCTCAACGAAGGTTTAGAAAGAAGTTAACGCCAGCAATCCCTCTCAAATTTTGAGAAGAGAGCGCAGTACACTGTATACAATTATACTGTGTACAATTTCCTTTCCTCCGCCAATGGTGGTTCATCAAATTGTGAAACACAAGTTTATTACAAACTCTTGTTCAAAAAAAGATCATATTTCCTCTCATCGTAATCTTACAATATTCATTTCCACCACAAAAGAAATTTCTTGAGCAGAAATTTTTTTTATTTAGATGTAAATTTCTTTTATAGAACCTATACTTTAGAATAATATAAATTATTCTCTATACATATATGTATAGTCGATTCTTATGATCTATAAATAATTAATGGCTAGATACGTAAAGGAGTCATTGCTCTACTTTATAGCACTAATTATACAATAATATTTTATTAAGATCATACTTTGGTTAATATGATATAAATCTCCTGTTTAGGGGAACCCCCTCCGGTGACCTTGGCATATATTGTCAAGGTAACGATCTCGAGTAATCTTCAAAAGATTTTAGCCGTCGCTCGTATTCATTAAAAAGTTATAATTATAAAAAGATCACAAAAAATTACCTTCACAATTCGTATAGCATGGAAAAATAAAGTCTATAATTGTACTGTTCTACATTTTTCACGCAAAGCGAGGATCCATATTCTATACTCTCCCCTCCCCGGGAGGGCGAAACGAGATTTACAATTGTACTGCGTGAAAGCGAGATGTAATATATATATATATATATATATATATACGTCTTAAAATAAGATAGTATACTGCGAGCATAGAAAAAAAATTAAAGTTAAAAAGCACGGAAGCTTGAAAATCTTCTTATAATGAAAGGAAAAAGAATCATTTTAAAGCGCTTATAATTTCATTAGAGTACTTAACAAGTGAAACTTTCGTCGAGCACGATTTTCCTTTCAAAACGGTTATTCCCTTTTATTAAAAAAAAAGGATAAAAATGCATTATTGATATATTTAGCGATGGCGCCAGAGCGTGTCCATTGCAAGCACGTGGAAGTTACAGAGGTCGCCCTGAGAATCGCGAGCTTTCAAACTCTGCAGCAGTCAGCCGCCAGCCGTCCGTGCTGTACCAACCGGGAGTGGTATACTCTTTACGTCGCAAAATTCGTTCCCGTCATCATTATAATAAAGTTTAGATTAGAATCGTGAGATTTCCGATGGGATGAGTGAAATTAGTTGATTTGATAAACAAATTCCAATGGAAATTTTTGTCTCGTCAGATGTCAGCGAGAAGACAGACGGATAAGTTAACACTCATGTAATTTAACTTCCGCAGTAAGTAAATTTCGATAACTTCTTTTTAAATGTAAACGCCTTCGATAAATTCCTTTTAAATGAAAAGAAAAACAGGTCGACGAATGATAATGAGTAATGTTACATGTAGTCAGCAATGTAATCGCACGTGGAAATCGATAAAAATGTTAACCATATGCGTCTAATTTGGGTTTCTCCTTTTGTTCAAGCGTTGCTTGTTATCAGCTAGTTAATTAGTTACGCTGAGCACTAACAAAAAACGTGCAAAACAGCTTAAGTTGTAGTAATTGCTATTTACTTGTCAGTTTGTTTAAACAAAGTAAACAAAAATATAAATTATTTGTACTTCTACTATATGTATGTATTATGTATATTTTAAAAGTTTTTTTAATTCGTAGCTAAATAAGCAAGAGGAGAAATATAAATTTTTATCACACATTGCCATATTTTTAAAATTTTCTATCTTGTGAAATTACATTTTTTTACTATTTGGTATACAAAATAATTATTTTTTAAAACTTATGTTCAATCAATTTGTTTAAAAATTTAATTTCTACTATTTTATTTTGTTTAATCAATTTTAAATACTTCTCGATTCTCGATTTCTTTACAAATCTTTATTGCAGTTTTTGAAAAATATGCAATATTATGTTTGTATAATGTATTTATATAGCTTTAAAACGTAGTACTTTTATTAAATACTTATTATGGATTATATTTATGTAGCAATTTAATGTAAAACTATAATGCAAAAGACAAAATTTAAATATTTAAAAGATGGGGAAATATGTATAATAACAGGTTCTAGGCAGTCTGCTTGCAAAGTACGTGCATTAGACCTCGGACAAAATAATACACTTTCAAAAATTTATTCAACTTCAAAAACTACTAGTTTAAATGATATGATCGAAAAACACCCGAGTTCGCGTGATAATATTTTGATGTTGAAATGCATTTATTCGAGACACAGCAAAACGCCAACGAGTCTGCATTTTCTGAAAATTTTATCCTGCTGAATGATGCATATCTGCCGATAACGAACATTGCAGCTTCCTATAATCGATTTCACGTGCCACGACGAATAATGGTTGACACGATCAGCGATCCGTCCTATCCGTCTTCCTATGTAAATGATTCGGTACAAGGGACGGAGATCGTAAGCCAGCCGTTCAATTTCCTTCGTAGATGTACACCTCTACGAACGTTCCACGTTAAATGACTGCGATGAAAACAACAATGGCGTCGTAATTAAAATTCATCGACTTATAGATCGCTAGCATCCATAAAATGGATGCTATCGAGATAACTTGAAGAATTATGTGTGATAACAAAAATATAATAACGCTTTATCAAAATTTTTTTCATCGAAGAACGGCGCGATTCGCGCATTAAAATTAAATTACACTACGATAGAAAAGACCTGTCAATTTCCAAATGCATTATTTCGGTTATTTATCTTTTGTACCTTTTATTTCCTTATCAGATTATCTACCAACATATATACTTTCAATCCTAGTTGCGCAAGGATACCAGCATCTTCCAACTAATCTACATTAATGCGCTTAGGAAAGGGGAAGTTCGTGCAGTCAAGTTGACGTAGTCTCATCGGCAAAGTTGCATTGTTACTCATTCGGTCGCGGGAAACGACATAAGAATACGAAATACGTTAGATATATATATTCGTATGCATCTTAATAATATACTTAATAAAAGTTGTCGTGAACTTTCTTTCCATCTTTCCGAGGATGTGCGTAAAGTTGATAATAAACACGAATGAATTGAGGTGATACTTATCACTTTTTCTCTTTTTGGACCCTCCAAAAATGGCTTACACGTTGCCGGGTTCCGTGTACCTCGATAATCTCGACGATAAATTCGATGTACTACCAAGGAGATACGTGCCAGCCTTGCTAAATGTCGGGCACGACACCCTGGATACAGACGAATGGGATCGCTTTCTGGATACAGAGCCGATTCTGCCCAGTCTGGCTTTAAATGGCAAAAGATTGACCTCGGGGCTCGACCTTTTAAAGTATTCCCTGATAAAGCAAGCTTCGAACAAAAGGTTGGCCGAGAAACCGTACCGGTGATTCGATTGCACGCGAACGAGAGGTGTCCGCAAGATTTCTTACTCCCTACTCGCTTTCCCTACTTTCTTTCTTTCAACCCTCATTGCATACGTCTTCATCGCAGTGCCCCATTGTTCTTTCGCCTGCTCGCTAGATTTTCATGCCTGATCAACGTGCAGCTCGCTCGTAAATGTGCTCAGCGCGGCGAGCGCATCGATCACGCAGACCAGTTCGCAAACGGATCAGATAGGTATCGAAAGATTACGTCGACACATATTTCTTAAAATATACATCACAAAAGAATCGTCAATTCTGTATAAATATCGTGATTTTTTTTATATATATGTATGTATATATATATATATATATATATATATATATATATATTCCAATAGATGTGCTAAATATAACGAGTATAAGTGCCGTGCAATTTTGTGAACTGTTCTACTTGTAATTTCTCTCTATCTTTATCTCAGCTTTACTATTTTTATTCTTTTCCTTCTATTTACGTTTTCTCTATTCTTTTTACCAGTACCAAAATGCCGGAAAAGTGCGAAATATAAAATCATATGTAATTCTCAATGAATGCAGACGTACAAAAGGCATTTAAATTCAAGATCGAAAATAATATCTTTCACGTTCGACGCATACAATGTTAACTTCGACCATTATGACTATACCTGCAAACTAGGAATCGTTAATACCTGGGATCATGTCTTTAGCGTAGCGACTTACGACTCTCTAGTGGATTATCTGTAATATGATTCGCCGATAAGTTCATTAATCCAACTAGTTTCCGGAAAGAACACGGTTTTAATTAAAAACTCAATTTCCACGACGTTCTCCTGCGGGACAATCACCCTGACTGCCGCGCATTTGAGTTACACCAATATCCAAATAACGTAATTACGTTATCGTAATTTTCTGACAATTTACTCATATCGTGAATCGGGCAAGCGCAAGCTTCCGGTCTCGTTCCAATCAGCTTGTGATTGATGGCGATCGCGATTAATTTGCGGAGGATACTC